CCTGCAACGCATCCTGCCGCAAGACACTTCAACGCATAGTGAGAGCAGCTGAGAAGATCGTTGGTGCCTCTCTCCCCTCCCTCCAGGACATTTACAACACCCGTCTCACCCGCAAAGCCCTCTGCATTGCAGGTGATCCCAGCCACCCAACACACAGCTTCTTTAGTCTGCTACTATCAGGGTGGAGACTGCGGAGTCTCCAGGCCAGGACCCGCAGACTGAAGGACAGCTTCATCCATCAGGCTGTCAGGAAGCTGAACTCCCTCCCGACCTTGCCCCCCCTCCCCTCTTTTGCCCCACGCACCACTGAACTCTGACCCTCTCCCACTCCCCCCCTCCCTAATACACACACACACTGTCACTTTAATCAGTCTAAATAAGCTCTTTTGCACTACAAATCATTATATCTGCACTGTTGTCTACTTCACTGCCTTGTGATGCTTTATATATATTTTTTAAATATTGTTTTTACATTTTACCTTATTTGTATAGTTGTATTTTATATTTAATCTGTATATCTGTATTTATGTTCTACTGTTAGTGTTATCTGTATGCACCAAGGGTCTGAGAGTAACGCAATTTCAATTATCTGTGTGTATGTGCTGTACATGTGGAAGAATTGACAGTAAAGCAGACTTGACTTGACTTGACTTGACAAAACGAAAACGAAAACACACTGAATCCTTACATGCACCTTAAAGAACTGGCAGAGTCTTTTTTTCGTCAGACATAAAAATAAATAGCAGGCCTACCTTAGTGCACAATGTGTGTGTAGTTTGTATATATATATATATAAAAAAAAAAAAAGGTAGGCTACAATGTCGACGTGCTGTCCGGATAGTCTGGAGTAGAGCTCTGCGTGAAACTGTTTCGTAATGCCACTCCTGCTGAAATTCTGACCATTACCATGCACTCCCACAACGTGTGTGTTCCGCTCCCACAATTTTTGTGGCCATTCCCGCAAACATTCTTATATTGTTTATAATTTTCACGCTATCACTATGCAGGTATTGAAATCGCTTTTGAATGCTTGCTCGGCTGCTCGCTGTTCACTTTCGATTTCGCGTTCACGCACACTCGGTGTAAAGGAGTACATCTAATCTTACAAGATCAGATATTTGTCAGTGAGTTCAGGATCTGCTGAACAGCAAATACTCCTGCATGGTCTGTCAGTCATCTATCCTACTCTCAACCCGTGATCAGTCAGCTCGTGTTGGATGCAGGGTTGCAAAGTCTGCGTTTTTTCCACGGAATTGGGCTACTTTTAAGCTTTTTCCCCATGGGTAAACAAATATGTATTGCATACTTTTGTTTCACCATGCAGCAAACTTACTTGAAATACTTGGGGGGGGGGGGGAGTTTTGTTTACTTAAAAAAAAATACCTTTTATACCATTTAAACTGATAGTATTAATCTGTCATTTTTTTTTACTTTCGGTTAACGGTTAATTTGCACATCCCTACCTTCCACCATTGTCTTGTCTTTCTCACCTCACTCTTTTTGTTAGATTTTGAAAGTCATGTAGTGTATTCCAGCCTTAGCTAAACTAAATGATTTTTATCAATATGTCGATGGGGGTGGTGCCGTGATGGGCAAGTGATGTAACCGGTGTTGCAGCTTAACAGCGCTAACACCGCCAACACTGACCATCACAGCAAGCCTAAGATAGAGCAATAAAATGAACCGTGAAGTAGCTAATTCTTGTACAATACATTTTAATGGGCATAATTGTGAAAATAACTAATATTATTCATAGTCATATAGCCTAAATAACATTATTCATATTCTTTTGGTTTCTGTACCTAGTATTTTTTTTTAATTACAAATGCAGTGAAAATACAGATAACTGTATCAGTATCGGAAAGTGCCAAAAATAAAAGTAACCGTATCGGCCTCGTTGTGGACAAAGTGGTATTGGTGCATCCCTAACGTTTATTCAGCAAGGATGTATTAAATAGATAAAAAGTGATAATAAAGACTTATATTGTTAGAAAAGATTTCTATTTTGAATAAATCTGTTCTTTTTAACTTTTTATTCATCAAAGAATCCTGAAAAAAGTATCACAGGTTCCAAAAAATATGCAGCATAACTGTTTCCAACATTGATAATAAATCCGCATATTAGAATGGTTTCTGAAGAATAATGTGACACAATTTTGCTATCTGTTAAATAAATGCAGCTTTGATGAACATCAAGAGACTTCTTTAAAAAACATTTAAAAAATCCTACTGATCCCAAACTTTTGAATGGCACCGTATGTACAAACAAGCAAACAGTCAGGAGTAAAATTAGAACAAAATAAACAAATTACAAGCAATAGCACAAATAAATACTAAAAGATGCTAATGAATTAAATAGGGCTGTAAGTTTATTTTTTTTTGACCCTGAGCCATTAAGGCAGTCCTTAATGTCGAACCCTGATTTGTGTCCCACTGAAGATAGTTAGTTATAAAGTTTGGAACAACATGAGAGAGAGTAAATAATGCCAGAATTTTCACAGTTTTTCCTTTTTAAGAGAAAATAAGTGTCTCTCGCTCTCTCTCCCGGTGTGTGTCCCGCAGCAGTGCTGGCTGCTGCTGTGTGACATGATTAGACCTCAAAACGTGTTTGAACAAAATTGAGCTCTGACATAAAAGGCACATTCCAAACACAAAACCAACACACAAAGACACCCAGCAGCACTCGTTCTGTGCCTGTGTTTTATTTGTTCTTGGCCTACTTTGAGTTACAGGCAGAGATGTGACTTTACTCTGCTCAACAAGGACCCAAGACAGGAAGCGATGTTTTAATGTGCTGATTTGCTCAGAGATGGAGTGATTTATTGTTGCAACTGTTTAAAGCTTGTCAGTTTTACAGTGTTTGTTGTTAGGGGTTGAAGGTCCAATTAAGGATGGAAAGCTGATCTCGGATCAGATTAAATTTGTAGGGGAGAGTGGGTTAAAATGAGTCACTCTAGCAAATATAGCAAGTGTTTAATCTAGCAAAATGACTACAGTTGTTTTCATGTGACTATATATTTAGAAAAGGCCCATGATATACCACTGATTTTGACCATTTTTAGCATTTAAAAGTACATTTTATGCATTTATACACTTATTGTAGGTAAAATAGGTTTTGTCAAAGCAAATTTATCCAAGTCTAAAAATATTGGTGCCAATGTGTACACTACCATTCAGAAGTTTGGGGTCAGTAAGATAATATTACAGAATATTGTTTCAAATAAATGCTGTTCTTTTGAAGTTTCTACTCATCAAAGAATCCTGAGAGAAAAAAAATATTAAGCAGAACAACTGTGACATTGATAATAAAAACAACGCTAAATCAGCATATTAGAATGATTTCTAAAGGATCATATAACAGTGGAGTAACGGTTATGGAAAATGTTGCTTTGCCATCACAAGAATAAAGGACATTTGAAAATATATTGAAATAGAGAACAGTTGTTTTAAATTGTAATAATATTTCACAATATTACTGTCCTAACTGTATTTTTATCAAATTGAAAAAAACTTACAGACCTCAAACAAAGTATATAAAATATGTAAATGTAAATTATTGCAATAAAACATTTTTTTAAAATTGTAGCAGTGGAATAAAATGTTAAATTATTTCACTATATTAAAATATTCTGAATTTTAAGCCTTTTATTGGCTAGATTATGAAAATGTGACTAATGCACAGCAAAGTAATAATGGGAATCTGCATTATTAAATGTCACTTCTCTAATTTATGTTCATATTTTTATTAGAGATGTAAATCTTTCACATATTACACTATAATTCACCTTACCCTTCAACATTAGGGATAAGCTGTGTCTGTGGATTTTTTCTCCTCTCCTACTAATTTTACTTAATAGCAGACATCCTGAAATATATTTAGGTTTATTAATTTTACCTGCCTCATTTCTCCTTGCCTAAAGGATGAAGTAAAATGTGGCACACTCACTCTCCCCTAACGACAGTATGAATAGTCTTTCACTTATTTCTTTGCTTTCATTTGTTTCTCAAGATTCTTTAAATATTTGAGCTGTGTCTGAGCTTTCCTCATTTTTCATATTCTGGAAGCTGTTAAGAGATTTCACTTGAAATTCCTAAATATATTTGAGATTTGGATATTTTATGTGTGTTTTATGTAATCTTTTAGATGATATATTTATTTAGGCCACTCAGCCAAATCTGCATAGTTTTGTGGTTGTACTGAGCCATTATTTATGTCTTTTGTGTCTCATACACGCCTGCAAACAAATAAATAATCACAGTTTTAATAATCCAAACCATTTCACCTCTGTCGTGATCATAAAGATGTCCTTTAATGAAAGTTGTATGCAATATCACATCAGAAAGAATAAAAACATGACCATTTGCTACTTGACCTTTGACCTTGCATTTGGTAGCATTTTTTGTACTTTTGGCTCATAACAAACAGTGAATTGCAAATATCAAAGTGTCTACTCCTTTGTGTTTTATACCAGGTGTATCCAGTGCCACCCTGCTGCACTCCAAATCTCTACGTGGGCATAGAGACTGCTTTGAAAAGTACCATCTCATTGCCAACCAGAAGCTCTCCCGCGCCAAGGCCTCCCACAGCGCGTATGATGGCGTGAAGCGGGCTCTGAGTCAGCGAATCAACCGCATTATACAGTACGCCCAGAACAGAGACTCCGTAACCGCTGAGACACCTGGGCACTGGGGGGCCAAACAGATTCTGTGTCACACTCAGCAGGGCGGCAGGAAGCTCGTGCCCCAGTCCGATGCCCAAGTTCCCCGTTACACCCCACGATGGGCAGAGGAGGCGTCGATGGCGGAGCCAGAGTATGGGAAAACCATGCTGGACTGCCATTCTGCAGAGGAGCTTGGTCTCGGCCTGCTGCAGGGCTCACGCCAGGGACTGTGGGCTGGAGAGAGACACCACCCACAAGAACAGCAGAACCGAGAGCAGAGAGACACAGCCAGACAGAGGAGACACACGGGACACAGTCAAGAAGAGCGTGAGTATTCATAATATACATTAGCTTTCAAAAGTGTGGGGTCAGATATCTTTTTTTTTTTTTTTTAAGAATTTAATGTTTTTGTTCAGCGAGGAGGCATTAAAATGATTAAAAGTGACTGTAAAGACATCTATAATGTTATGAAAGATTTTTTATTTCAAATAAATTTTATTCTTTTAAACTTTCTATTCATCAAAGAATCTTGAAAAAAAATCAGTTTCCACAAAAATATCAAGAAGCACAATGTTTTTTAACATTAATAATAATAAAAAAGTGTATATTGAGCACTAAATCATCATATTAGAATGCATTCTGAAGGATCATGTGACACTGATGACTGGAGTAATGGCTGCTGAAAATTCAGCTTTGCATCACGGGAATAAATTACATTTAATACATTAAAATAAAAAAATCATTATTTTAAGATGTAATAATATTTCACAATATTACTGTTTCTACTGTATATAATGCAGCCTTGGTGAGCATAAGAGACATCTTTCAAAAATATTTAATTAATCTTACTGACCCCGAACTTTTAAATGGTGTTATTTGCTTTGATTTTGTTACTATTATCTCTGTGTAATTCCCACAGTAACATCTTAGACAAAGAGAAGGACGGAAATCGATATGCTCACCATTAGGGTTTTATCTGGTGCTTTGTATCTCGGCATCTTTCCCGTCAATATAGTCCACAAAGCACCAATAAAGGGTTGAGGTCACAATCTAGACTTTGATTTCTCTCGCAGTTCTTCAATGTCTCCTTATCCCAATGAAATGGCTTGTGTTAAAAACAGAAGTGTCATCAGGGTCACACGTCTGAAGAGAATGACTCAATGACTGTTATGAAGGCATTTGCTTTCAGCTGTGAAAGGAGATGTGTTTGTCAGTTTTCACTTTATTGAAAAATATAGCTAGAGAATGATTTTCATACCCACTTTATGACAGTGTTTGCCTTTCTCTTTCAGTGGTGAGGATGAGTGTGGAGGAGCTTCACCAGCTGAACGAGCAGCTGCTGCTACAGATACAAAGTGAGTCTCATCTTCAAACTTAAAAGGGATTTTTCACCCAAAAATAAGAAAAGTATGATAGTTCCTAATTCCTTTGAACCCAAACACATTCTGGGGGGAAAAGGGACTTAATATTAGTAATAAACTATTATTATTTTTTTGTGATATAACATATTTCCTCTGCAAAATATGGATTTTCAACAAAAAAATTGTAAAATGGTAGATAAATTATTAATCTCATTAAAGCAACAGAATAGCTTTCTGCTGGCGCTTGTACTTTACCCTGCCAACATTTGATCTGGCCCCAACACATGAATGAATACATTTTTAACTCATTTTAATATTTATTTTTACATTTAATTATTTACATTTACCTTTCATTATTAATTTATATTTATATATTATTATTTATGTATATGTATACATTTTATTGTTTACTTTTATTTCATAATTTGTTTCCGTTTTTATATTATACTATTATAATATTTTACAATTTTTATTTGTTTACATTTTCATTTAGTCATTTTCTTATTTTTTTTATTTTCATCATTTATGTATTTGGTTTAAATTTAATTGAAAAGATTAAATGTTATGTCTTTTTTTCCTTCACAAAGCTCATTTGCAGTAATATTATACAAGATATTCCATAAATTCATTAAAAAAAATTCTGGAAAATGATGGCATACATAGAAAAAACAAAACATTACTGTTTGGTGTGTGATTCTCCTCTCATTCTTACTGATGCCAACAAGTCTGGTCACTTTGATAAAAGCCAGTTTAAATATTTTGCCTACCTGACAAGTTTAAAAATATATTTTACAACCAAATTTCAAGTTTGTGAGGTATAAAAATGCATGTACATTATCAAAAAATGTAAGATATAGGGCAAGCAACAGATCTACGCTTTGGCCAGCTGGCCATCCTTATGTTGAGTTCTGCTTATGCATATCTCACGTTTCTTATGTAGGTTATCATTATTCTTGTGTACTAACACACAGACTCTTGTGTTTGTGTCTCAGATGTGTTTGAGGAGCTGTCTGTAGCTGTGCAGGAGAAGGACTCTCTTTCATCAGAGCTTCATGTACGGCACATAGCCATCGAGCAGCTCTTCAAAAACTGCGCCAAGCTGCCGTGCCTCCAGATCGGGCGGGCGGGGGTCAAAGCTGGCAACAACCCAGTGGAATGAGCGCTTTTTGGGGACAACAGAGTCCCTCAAAGACCAGACAGAAAGCGCAGCTCCAAGCAGACTCTCACGGAAGCTCAAAGCTCAAACGGACCAGAAATGCACAACACTGTGCTAATGAGTTTAAAGTCACCTCGCTCTATAAGGTGGCATCTGAATTTTCAGCAAAAGTATGCACTTTGAGAGCAAAAGTGTTTTGCGGGCCTGTCCAAAGTGTTTCTATGCAGAATGAGGTGTTTTTAAAGGGGTCATGTGATGTTGCTAAAAAGAACATTATTTTGTGTATTTGGTGTAATGAAATGTTTATGCTGTTTAAGGTTCAAAAAACACATTTTCCACATAATGTACATTATTGTTTCTCCTCTATGCCCCGCCTTTCTGAAACTCATCAATTTTTACAAAGCTCATCGGTCTGAAAAGCAAAGTGTGCTGTGATTGGCCAGCTATCCAGTGCGTTATGATTGGCCGAATACCTCAAGCGTGTGACCGAAATGTTACGCCTTTACCATACTGTGATGATGCCCTGTCAGGCTGGAGCGACGAAACAAAAACATTAAAACGGCGGGCTTGCGGCAACCACATGTGACGACCCTGGGCTGGACTCCGCTTTGTCCACGGTGAAAGCCGATCCGGCGATCCACAGCACGAAGTTTTTTTATTTCCTCAGCGACCAGCACGGATCAGCTCCAGGCATGACGAAGCAGATATCGTCCTCTTTTGGAAGGCCAAACAAAGTAGTTTCGCTTTCACAACGAATCACACAGCGCCTTCACGACATGGCGGCGGCAACAAAAACAAAACTACAGTGAGAATAAAAGTTACGCCTTCTTTCTTTGCGTGAACATTTGGGCGCCGTTATGCAAATCTTCCCACATAGTGACGTAGGTATATGGGGGCGCGTTAAAACAAGCCGTTTTAGGTAGGCGTGGCTGACTCTTTAACTTTTATAAAGAATATCTCTTTGGATTTGAGACTTTAGTCTTTGCAACTTTACAGATCTTCTTTATGCACCAAGAACTTGTAACACTCCAAAGAGAAAGGAAAAATTGAAATCGCATCATATGACCCCTTTAAAACTTTACAAAGACTTGTTTAAATGTTTTTCTTTTGTTGTTCCATTCATATATGTTCATCTTCATATCACTGTTTACTCTTTACACTTGATCACTTTGGGTGCTTGGATGAGTCTGACAGTGTTCCTCCTGCACGTTCAGGCTTACTGATTGGTTGTGGTGTTGTTGTGGTAACTGTTGCTTAGTTAACAGTTTTTTTCCCTCCCTCCACTCATTGCAGTGGAACTTGTTAATGACTGTAGTTGTTCTGTTACTCTAAGGCACATTTCTCCTGTTGTTCTGAGGTTCAGCACAAATGCTTTAGTGGAAGTTTACATGTCTTTTGTTATTTCACTCTTAACTGTGTTCTGACATTTCATTGGTGCTTTTTCCCCCCATCACAACATTACATGGGTTATGATAAAGAAAATAGCAGTTTGTACAGTAAAATTTCAGCTGGTATAGTTTGGTCATTCACAGATGTTAAGCACAGGCCTAACTTTGATTTAGGCTTAACTCTGTGCTGGGATTAATATTGGAGAGATAGATATGCTCAACCAAAGCCTTTCAGTATTTATTTTGTTAGGACAATTATTTGCTTGTTACAAATATTTAAAACCTTTTTTTTTTTAATGTGTGGTTTTAATTTTTGTAGTGTTTAGAGGTTGTTTTCTTATGCTATTATAGTATTTAGGGTCCGTGCATAAACTGAAAGTATAGTCAGGGGAAAGTGAGCCTTTACCCTGCTGCCTTGATTTCAGATCAGACTGTGTTGCCACCTGGTGGGCACTCAGAGGATCCTGTCCACTTGCTGCCCTGATGTGTGCATGGTTAAGTGTCTATTATCTTTAGAATCTTAAAAACAAAAAAAAATGCAAGCTTCAAAGTTGTTTTGAGAAATCAGCTAGGTATTTTGAATGATCTGTTCTCTTTATAAGAGATGCATATTCGACTGACCCCTCTGGGGTTTCTAAGGATATTTTATTTTGTATGAATGTTATTTTGGTTATGCTCTGAGAGGTCACGTCAGCAAACTATCACTGTGAATCGTGATGGATAAATTGTCGAAAAGAAGCAATATGTGTTCGAAGTGTTGTAAAAATGTTTTAATCTTTTTTTTAAGGTTCACTCTGTGATTTGGCGTACAAGAGGTTGGAGATACTGAAATAATGAAGCACACTGCCCAAATGTTTGTTTGCTGTGGAAATACTGAATGAACTACATGAGTTGGACGAGTTTCATGTTTGTCTGGAGTGTGTTGCATATGTAGGCCATGTGTTTAAATGTTAACTTGATTATGTTGGTGTTATTGATGTCTTATTCTTTTTCTCTTATATTTATTCATTGCTTGTCTTATCTTTTTTTTAGATGAGTTAGTTTTTTGTTTTCTCCAGTGGCCTGTGTTATGTGACATTCAAGTGGTTTATGCAATACTGTTTCTTAGTGGATCTTCACATCAGTTTAGAAGATTTCTGAATGCTTTTGTTTGAAGTGATGTGCACATTTTCATTTTAGGGAATGGATTAATAAAAATATTTTTCCTAAAAAACTGTGATTCTTTTCATTACTAGTTCACCAGCAAGCTGATAGGATTGTAAAAAAACATTTTGGA